TTCAAACCCTCTCCATGCAATGGTGACCGATGCGTGACCATGCTCATATGTCTCTGTTTATTATACATAAAAAAAAAGACAATTCATAAATCTACTATTTATACGAATTGTAGAAATGTTTCTTTGAATTTGTTCTTATTCTTATGTAAAAAAATACAAGAGAGAAATAGATTTAAAAATTTTAGTCCTATGGCAGATTGATAACAATATAACTAGCAGAAATGGCTAATAGGATTGAGTAAGTGTTAAAATTTTGAAGCATGTGTATTTGTACTCTTCGAGAGTAGTTTTGAAAAAATGATTTACTAAGAAGAGCCTTTCATTTAATCTTTCCATTTTTTTTCTGCAAGCGCTAAACGTTTTTCTCTTCGATCAGAACAGATTTCGGATTAGCATTTTTTCTAATTTTAGATATTTATGGTAGATGTCAATGCAATAATAAGATTGCTGGACTCTCATGTACAAATAGTATCTCTGAAACAATGAATCTTCTATCACCAAAAAAGTCAAATATTTGCTACTAAAAAGAATTTTATTTAAAAATAAGAAGTTTGTTTATTTTATCAAGAAAAAGAATCGTTCGAGTTTGTACTGTGTTCGAAGAGAGATTTTCATGTTGATTTTTTTGTACGAGCATCTACACGTTGGATGACGCACGTGACAATGTTCTCTTTTCTTCTCTTTTTCTCGTATCAAGCAACATTACGGCTTATTGGAAAAGAGAATACTGATTTAAAGATAGGACAAACCGAGTTAAAATCACTATAGTTTTAATACATGTATCGAAACAGTTTGAATACTGTTTTAGGTATTTGATCATTAGATAACTTTTCGTTTCTTTTTTAAGACTATTCATTTGATTATTTTAAATATCTTTACTTAAGTAAGTCGATTATCTGCAATAATTCTAAATTGCTCTAGTTTGAATAAAGGAAGACTGGAAGTATCATATTGTTAGATTTAATTCGTTCTATCTTATATATATATATGTGCTACAGCATGACTTAGAGCAAAACTATGCTTTATCAAAGAACTGTTTACGTCCGATAAGACCAAGATTTGATTTTTAAAAAGAAAAAAAAACTGAACGATCAATTTTTATTCCTTTTTTTTTGACAAATTTATTTTCTAAAGTCCTTGCTGAATAGTATAAAATAAAACTGTGTAAATTTAATCCAGTGTTCCATTTGTTTTATTGCTTCTGATGATGCAATTCTTAATTAAATAGTACGAGATAGAAGAGATCTCGAATCTCTTGATTTGTTTTATACTTCAAAAGACTACAGATGAACTATCTGGTATTGAAAGTTGTATCCATAGAAGAATTTGTTGCTCTTTCAAAATTCATAGTTTTGTCACCAATTTCTAAAAAATCAAGTAATGAGCAGATATATTGTACAAGAATGAATATTGTGTTGGATATTCTGTGACACATAACTCACATGAAAAACAAAATTTTTTTATGAACAACTAGATTTAGTTTTAATAGAAACAAGAACCTCTGCATTATTTCACAGTAGTTCTTCTTATTTCTTCTTTACTTTTTTGCTGAACGTGCACATGGCACAAAAAATAATATAACTATTATTAATGATATGAGATTAAAATAACTAGTTGAATATATTTTGCATATGTTACGCTTCATTTAATACATATATCCTTCTAAAGAAAGTAAACGTCTAGATAGGCGTAAGACACGTTTCATAATAAAAGGTAACGATTTATAAAGAGATGATATATAGGTAATATTTATTATTCTTTTGCTATTCTCTCATTTTGCCATGCATTTCTTTATTTTTGCGTTAGAAAATTTGCACTCAAATAACTAAATTGTATTATCATGGCAAAGAATATGACTTGTTCAAATTTAAATGATGATCATTTATGTAATATTCAATCATCATTTTCAACTAATATTATTAGCAATGATAGTGATTATGTAAATAGATCATTTCTTTGTATCCTATTCATATTGAATTATATTTCTTGTATAGTTATTCAGTAAACTTGATGTTAAATCATATGGTACAATAACTTGTAAGTATTGATATATTGCTATAGAAAATATTCATATTGACTTAATTAATTTTTGTTTTGTTTTAGTTCCTCAAAATTACTATAATCGAGCTAATTTTATTCGAATATCGCCGCATGTCTGTCCTACACAAGTCAAAGAATTATTTATTGGACAAAATTATGATACAGTAAATCTTTCGATTTTATCTTTTGTTTAAATAATGATTAGTATTTTATTAGCATCCATCACTTGTTATATCGATAATGGGCAGTGCGAAAGAAAGTTCTCTGAGATCAAAACTATTTCGAATATTTCGTGAAAGTCTTCTTCAAATAGCTCAAACTACCAGTTAGATTTTACGTTACAATTTATTTAAAAAATCAAAGTTATTTATCTTTCTTTAGATGTTTGGGTAATTACTGCTGGACTGAATTCAAGAGTAACAAGATTTTTTGGTGAAATAATTCGAACAAATTCAGATCCATCTCGACCCATTTATTTAATTGTAAGTTATTAATCAAGATTTAATAAAAATCATATATAAAATACAAAAAAAAGGGTATTGCTTCTTGGGGATGTATATCAAATGTCTCACAACTTGATGTTCATGGTAGCAATGTTATTTATTCAAAATTAAAAAGTGATGAAAAAGATGAAACACCACTTGAACCAAATCATACACATTTTATTTTTATTGATGATGAAACGAAACATAAACATGGAAGTGCAATTAAATTTCGTGCTCAATTTGAAAGAGCAATTTTAGGTGAACATTTTTCATTACAAACCTTGACAAATAATAATCAAAAAAAATATAAATCAATAAAATCATATACACAATCAAAACAATCAGGTTAATATATTCATGATAAGAAGAATTTATTCGTTTTTTTTTTCATTTAGATAGTATGCCGGTTATTGTTGTTGTTATCGAAGGCTGTTCGGATGTGATTAAAAAAGGTTTAGTTATGTTTAATGATACTATCTACTTCATTTTTTTGTGTTTTAGTTTATCAAAGTGTTGTTATAGATAGAATTCCTGTTGTCCTTGTTGAAGGTACAGGTGGATGTTGTGATTTATTTGCTAAATGTTATCATTTGTATAATGAATACAAGTCAAAAATGGAATCATATGCTGAAACAAAGTTTGTTTCCTTATCTTAAATATTTATTGAGATTTGTTCGTATTTGTAGTGAAAATTCATCATCATTAATAGAACAAAATGAACAAATAAAAAATAAAATTCGTGAAGCATTACAGATAGTTAATCATGAAATGGCTGAAACTTCATGCACAAACGCACCAGATGAAGGATTAGATTTTTTTGAATTAATATATGAATGTGTTGAAACACGAAATATATTTTTAAATTTTATTGATTTCAAAGTACATAATCTTAGTGGTGAGGATGTTAATTTCTCTATTTTACAAGCTCTTCTTAAAGGTAATCGAAATAAATAAATATTTAATACACAATATTATTAATAGTTACTAGTGAAAATGGTTTATGTAAAACAAAACTAGAAGAAAAGCGTGAACAATTAAATTTAGCATATGAATGGAAACAAATTGATATTGTTAAAAATTCTATTATGAAAGATGAACGAGATTGGAAAGTAAAAAATTTAAAGAAAATTTTTGCAATAAATTCTTTAATTATAATATAGAGAATTGAATTAAATGATTTATTTTTCAAAGCTATGATAGAAAATCAAGCAAATTTTGTCGAATTAATTCTTGATCATGATTTTCCATTACATGATTTATTTGAAAATAATAATCAACTTTTAGATCTTTATAAAGCCGAAGTATATCTTTATATCTATAATCAAAATAAATAAATTTTGTTTTATATTTTTAGAATATTTATTTTAAAAATGAATTAAATAGTCCTTTAAGATCAATTTATAGAGAAATAATTCAACCATTTATTGATAATCATTGTCTAATTGATGCTATTTGTGATCAAGATAATTTAGTAACAAATTCTAAAAGTTTGTTTATTAAAAATAATCTTTTGTTTATTATTAATTGATTATATTAAGATGATTCATCATCAATAATAAGTGAAATTGATATTGATAAGGAACTTTTTCTTTGGTCAGTTGTAACAGGTAGACAAGAATTAGCTTTACTTTTCTGGACTCGTGGAAGAAATAAAATTTGTATGTATTTAAATAAATGAAAATTTTTTTTTTTTTGGATAAATTTTTCGAATGATTAGGTGGTGCTTTCATTGCAATATTAATTTATAAAAGTAAAGCAAAAAAAGAAAAAACTCTTAAATATAATCAGTGGGTCAATCAATTGGAATATTTTGCTGTAGAAATACTTGAAAAATTTTATTCAACATATCCTTCGAAATGTAAACAAGCTATTATTAGAGTAATACCTGAATTTGATAATGTTACTTGGTTACAATTAGCTGTTTTGGCTGAATCAAAATCATTTATTGCTAAACAAGGTGTACAGGATGTACTTAACGATATATGGTATCTTTATTGTATATATAATATTTATTTACTTTATTTTATCTTTTAGGTATGGTCGAATCGATCATCAAGTTGGAAATTTTTTAATAATATTTTCAAGTTTTATGCTTTGGTATAGTGCTTTTCTTCCTTATTATGAAGAAAACAATACATATAATCAACATGATGTATGTCAAGTCAATTTTGGAACTTTTTAAATTGATTGATTGATTACTTTTATTAATAGGATTTTCAAGATGGATCGAATATTTTTCAATGTCGTACGTCAAGATCAAAGCCTGCTATTGATAAGTAGCCTATTCTAAATCAATCTAATCGATTTGTATTAAACTCACAGAATGTTTTTTCTCTAGAGTCTGCACAATGTCAGATGCGACATGTTCGAGATTAATGGATGATGGTTGCGATGAGGAAACAAAATCTATTACTGTTGCCAATGCCGGTTGTTGTAAGAGGTCGTGATCAATTACTATTAGAACTTTGTTTTTATTTCTCGGGAGAAAAATGATATCTAAAGTATAGAAACCACTTTTATAAACCGTTAAAGAAGAACAGAGATCTAATAATGCCTAATGAACATCTACTAGAGAGATGGAACCCGTACCGGTTTATCTTATTAACTTTCTTGCTTCCGTTATATAAATATTCGGAACTTCTATCAGTCTTAATAACATCTCATAGAATTTGAGAGTGTAATCAAAAGATAATGAATAGAAAATTCTTGTCCTATTAGTTATATGAAAATATTTCTATATCAAAACTTTCATTCTACTATAAATTTAGAATAAAAATTGGCGTTAATCAATATATAAAGAATGTTTCAATGTTTCTACATGCTCCATGTGTGAAATATCTGTACAATTTAGTAAGTTTTATTATATAGTAACAAATGAAAATTTTCGATTCTTAAAAAGAGGAAACTGAAAAATTTTCGAAATATTTAAGTATATTCATTTTCAGTATTTTTATTTGATAATTTAAAACAATGTAGACTTCTGAAGAGTTCTATTGACATGAAAAAGTTATCACTTTACATTATCTTTTATAGTATTCTCATGTGATCTTTTTAATATTATTTTCATACGTAATATTATGTGCATATTTTCCACTATATGAATTTCAATCTGATCGATGTTTTTCAAACGAAGAAGAACATAATAGTGAAAAGAAATCTATTTCAAATTTAACAAATATTAATATGACTATAAATGTAAATTCTTCATCAAAATCTAATCTTCAATCTCATTATGGACCATCAACAAGTGAATTAATACTTGTATTATGGGTTTTTACTTTATTTTGTGAAGAAATTCGACAAGTACAAAAAAAAATTTTTTCTTTTTTCTTATAAATTCTATAATTTTTATTTAATTAGATAAGAGCGAATAAAGTTCACTCACTATATAAGAAGATCAAAGTATATCTTTCTATATTTTGGAATAAATTAGATACATTAGCTATAATTCTATTTATTCTTGGTTGTATTCTTCGTTTTTTACCAATAAATCAATGTTTTTGTTTTGCACGGATAGTATTAGCTATTGATTTATGTATTTGGTATATTCGAACACTTGATATATTTTCAGCTATAAAAAGACTTGGTCCTAAACTTGTTATGATTGGAGAAATGGTAAATTGATTAAGTTTATTTTTGATTAATATTTATTTATTTTTCTAATAAAGATTCATGATCTTAAATTTTTTATGTTAATGCTTATTGTATTTATATTAGCATTTGGTGTACCAGCTTATAGTTTATTAGATGGTATTGAGAAACATTCTTGGCATATGCCACGTTATATAATCAATTTTGCTTATTGGCAAATATTTGGTGAATTACAAGAAATTGATCAAATTGAAAGTTTGTTTATTTTCAAATAAATTTATATAAAACAAGATAATATTTTGTTTGTTTTTTGTTCTTAGAAAATTATGAATTAAGTGGTTATGTTATGTTTTTCTTATTAGTTGCATATATGACTGTTGCAAATATTCTTTTAATTAATCTTCTTATAGCAATGTTTAGGTATTATTTTAATTCAAAAAAAAAAATTTTTTTTTCAAAATATTATTTTAATTTAAAGTAATACATTTGATCGTTTACATTCGGATACAAATTGTATATGGAAATTTCAACAATATTCATTAGTATGTTATGAATTAAAACGTCCATTATTACCACCACCATTGATCATCATATCACATATTTGGCGTATAATAATTTATATGTTTTCACATATTATTAAAATAAAATGGTTTTATATGAAATATATTGAAGAAAAAAATCAAGCTAAAAGTAAATTTAATTTAATTAAATTTCTTAAATTTAATTGATTTAAATAGAAATAAAGATAAATAAAATATTAACAAAACAAATTGAAGAAATTGAAGATGCATTAGGACATGAAATTTATTTTTTTTCTTTAAAAAATAATCAAGAACAAATTGATTCTAATGAAGAACGAATGTAAGATAGATTTGTTGTTTTTTTTTGAAATTAAATAAAAATATAAATTTATGTTTAGATATTCACCACAAGAAATTTCATCAAATAAAATAAAAACACTTGAAAATCAAATTCAAATAATACAAAATCAAGTATTAACTATTGTTAATTTTTGAAAGAATTATTTTGTTCTTTTTTTTGTTCTTTAGCAAAGTAATATGTTTCAATATTTCGAACGTTTAATGAATGGAATTAAAAAAATTGGTGGGAATGATATTGAAATGCCAAAATGATATCATTGATGATTCTGACTGATGATGTATGTAAGACATTGTAATAGTTCTATTGAAATTCCATAAAGGGAAAATTTCTACTGATAAAAATAAGAAAAGAAATATTAATGAAGTTTGACACTTTTGCGTAATAGATCTGATTATTTTCATTATTATTGTTCTTTTTCTAGGACATTCTTGATTATCATGGTTTCTTTATTTACATTTCATTGGACATTTCAATATGAAAGTTAAAATTTCTATTTATTCGTTTATAAACTGTTTTATGTCAAGAAGAACGACTCTAAATAATGTAGATTTTTTTTTAATGTATATAATTAAATATTCTAGCATCTGTAAATTACTTTTAATGGAAATTGTTTATATGATCTTCTGAAAAAATAGATAAATTTTAAGACAATTAATATTGACTTTGTTAATAAACAAGAATTCGTTTCTATATTGAATATCTCAAATGGAAGTAAACCATACAAATTAACAATTATTTACTAGATTTTTTTTGAAATTACCGTTGAAATAAAATTATTTTTAGTATTATTTAATGAACGAAGCACTAGATGTGCAAGTTTTCAATATCGCAGATGAATTGTTATGGACTCCATAAACGATCTTACATCGTATTTACGGTCGTATCAGAGATGTCCATCGCGGCTGGAAATTTGCCGCTGCCGCACCGCGATGAGTTTAGAAACTTCAGATCTTACCACTGCCGCGACGCACTGCGACGATAAAAAGGAAAACTTGCCGCTGCCGAGCCGTGCCGCGATGCTAAAGAAACAAAATCTACCGCTGCCGCGCCGCTACCGCGGCGTCACTACGTCGAATATCAGTATGTGACGAAATGGATAAGAATCATGAGTTTGTTAGAGCTTCAATTGAAGAACAAACAATACAGCGAATGACCGAGAACACCTGAACACCTAAGATATTAAATTAAATAACGGGTGATGCAAAAGTTCTGAATTAATTTTCTTGTCAGTATAGCATGGTAACGAATCTTTATAGAGACTTGATCTTTTTCTCGTTGGAAAGAGCTAAGTGTCTAATACAAAATTGTGTAAAAAATATTTGATTCCAAATGTTTACCAAAAACTAAAAAGCCTTAAGGACACGTTGGACTGGAAAAGTGCCTTTCAAGTTCTGGAATTCAAAAGAAGAAATTCCATCTGCAAAGAAAGTTGATCTTTTTTTCCGGCTTTTATCGGGTTTTGTAGCGCTACGATCAGGCATTGTAAACGCGGAAAAATAAGATTTTCAAGTGACCGGTTGAGTTCGAATTCAACATTTTTCTAACATCTTTTGTTAGTACAAATTTTTCACAGCTAATAAATGACTTCGAAAAAAATAAGATTTCTTCCAACATCAAAATTAGCAGAAACCGCCTATTTTATATACAATTAAAGCTTATTGAGTCTTCTATAAAAGTATATTATATAAAACAGAATTCAGCTTTTCTGTTAGACATCGTGTGAAAACTTTAATTGGATGTTCTAGACGAAAAATCAACTGTTTTTTTTAATGAAACTGTTTCCTTTGAAGCCTGTAGCTTTGTAACTCGAATGTTTTTGTATGATTAGAAAGCCCACGCTGCATTGGTCAGACTCGCACATACCGTGCTTCCAAACATCGAAAGCCGAGTGCAAAACAAATTAAACCAATGCATTTTTCATCTCTAATTTTGAGTTAAATTGAAACACACTTTTTCGATACAACTCATTCTCAAGGCTTTTTGTTTCTAGTAAACATTTTGAATGAAATATTCTTCCATATTTTTGTAGTAGACAACTTGCTCTTTCTAACAAGAAAAAGATTAAGTCTCTATGAAGATTCTTTGTCATACTATACTGAAAAGAAAATTAATGCAAAAATTTTGTACCAACTGTTAGAAATTACTATATGGATCATATAGAATACTCTTCTTTCGTCTGAATAAGTGATATTTTAGCCTGTTAAAAGCGAAAGATTATGGGAACTTTGAGAAAGCAACTGACCCTAAGGAAGCATAATTTGATATACGCATCAAGTACTTGAGAATCTTGGGCAAGAAACTTCGGTGCTATAGATAAATCTTGAGATCTATTCAGCTGGAGCAGATGAAGAAAAGTTCGCCTGTTGTGACTATATATTGGTAAGGGAGTGAAACGATATAGATTACAATATTTGGAATAAAATATCAGAATGTATCAATTTTATGTGCATTTTAAGTAAATTTTTTGTATGTGTTTGAAAACGAGGTTTATAGTTTCGTAAAAGAAGAATCTTGATAAGTACCAATCGAAACTTTAATTTTAACTGTTCTCTATCGATTTCTGTTGTTAATGAAAATATATCGATAATAACTTTATCATTCGTTGATGGTGGTGAAAGATCAACACTAGTCATTCAAGGTAATTTAATAGCACATGTAATATTATACTAAAGCAAAGACAAAAATCAAATTCATTATATCCAGAAAATAAATCGAATTCTTGGTCACGAAAAATTAATTTATAAATAGAATAAGATGGCGCTTTGTTTTGTGGATTGTGCCAATCATAATGAGTCGACTTATGAACAGAAAAACAATTCACTCTTCTTCACTTTACTAAAATGACTGTAATATAGTTACTACGTCTATTTTGTTTGTATTTGCTTTCATTCGATACATCGTTAATCTGTGTTATCAATACTTATTCATGTAGGTGTGGGTGTGGGTGTGGGTGTGGGTGTGGGTGTGTGGGTGTGCATGTGGGTATGTATGAAGGGAAGACGCGGACCTGCACTCATACCCACATCCACACCCATATTTTGTAAATTTCTGATAGAAATAAATGTTTTTACAGCAGTTCTCTCCTTTTTTTTAAATATATTTTTCCTACTGCTCTTCCCTCTAAATGTGTATGCTCTCTCTATTAGTTGTTGTTTTTTTTTCAGATAAAGTTGTGACTGCTGTCGCTTCTAGGCCTAAGAGTGGTCGTTCCTTGTTTTTTTTGTTATTTACATTATATACTTGTTTAGGTTTTCTCTTTTTGAAAATAAAGGTGGAAAACGAACCTAACAGTAGATCAAAGAGTTGCGTCAATTCTTCTTGAATCGGAGGCTAAGAAACAGATGCGCTTCACGATTACTTGGATAGTATGGTTTCAAAAAACTCTCGATCGAAGTATATTTTCCAGTATATATTTTGTAGAACATTTCGTAGCTCTCGATCAACTCTATACATCCTGACAAAAAAAATCCGCTGCTCCCATTGAAGTTAACTCGTGCTGATAGAAACTATATTGATGCTATGTTCAGAAGAAATCTTCTGAAGTAAAGATTATAAATGATACCATCAAAGGTTTCGCAAAGTTATCTGTAACTTCAAAGCATTATAAGTTTGAAAAAAGAAGTAGGAATCCTATGATTAAGTGGTTTGCAAATAATACTGTTTCAAAGAAAAATCTTTATTAGTCGTTTGAGTTACTGATTACTTTTTTCTCCTATTACAATAGCATACGCAAACACACTAAGAAAAATTTTAATTTTCAAGTGAGAATACGATTAGTTATGAAAGAGAAGAAAAGAAATCTGTAAATTAAAGAAAAAATGGCAACATATGCCGTTTATCGAACGAGTTTCGACGAGGTCGAGATGCTGTAAATTGATTATTTAACACATTTTTTATTCTTCCACATTTGTTTCTCATAAAATAATGAACTTATTTTAACCATCAGAGACAGTTACAATTATTTTAACAACTTCAGACTTCGTATTCTATGATGTGGAGCAAATTTGTTCTACTATTTCTTCTCAATGTTTTCATACATTCATCTTCAGCAATTGTACATTCGATGATGATGTCATCAATGATCGATGTGGAATTTCGTTGTCCTAATTCAAGTTGTTATCCATTCGCCAGAATTTTGCTGTCTAGCTTGCTATATTGTCAGACTGCTTGCTTAGCTCAAGAACGATGTCGTACCATCAATTTTTATCAATCAACTAACCTATGTGAATTATTTGCTGAAAAACCTGACAATAATGATTCCATATTAGCAAATACTGGAACTATACTTATGACCATTATGGACGGAACACGTGTGCCTTTTGGTTGGTAGGATGAAATAACTTTCTCGTTAGAATTCTAATCGAATATTATCAGGTTGAAACGTGTTAAGATTAAGAATTTTGTCTTCTCAATTTTAGTATCACTGAAAACTTAACGAATTTAGTATTTTTCAAGGTTCATACTTTAGATATTCTCGAAATGACAGAGAAAAAATTGTATGTATAATAGAAGATTACTCGTTCATTTGGAAGTTTTAAATGTTATAGCGAAAACTCTTACTTAGGGCATACCAAAAATTCGTGGCCCGATGTTTAAAATTTTAGAAAACAGTAAATATTGAATATTTTATTATGGGAATATATAGTATCACGTCTCGTCTTTAATAATCTATAGAGCTGCTCTATATTGGATTTAGTTCTAACATTCTGCTAGATAAAAGATGCAGTGCTTACAGCCAAGAAAAGATCCTGACAATATAAAACCAGAATAAGAAAAGAAAGAAATATTCGTAGTTTTATTTTATTAAATGCTCAAAATAATCACCATTATTTTCGATACAAAGTTCCATCCTTTCTAACAGTTTATGGAAAGTTTTTTCAAACTCTTTTATTGGAATATTCTTCACTATGGTGGAAACCTCGTGAGCCAGCGATTCTTCATTTGTGTGATCGTTCAACTTGCTCTTGATATAATCATTTAGCCAAAAGTCACACGGTGCAAGATCTGGTGAATGTGGTGAATGTGAAATTATTTCGATATCTTCCTTTTCTAGATAATTAACAACATGTTGATGAGTATGAGGACTACCATTATCATGAAGCAGTTTATATTTTGTGAGTGATGATTTTTCTTGTTTTCTTATTTCATTGATAACAGATATGAGACAGTTTTCAATATAGTAGTTGTGATCGATAGTCTTGCCTTTATCTACTTTATGTATAAGGACAGTACCAGTGGATTTAAAGAATAGACAGAAAAGTGTTTTAGGCTCATATCTATTCCGACGAACAATGGTCCTTGGTGGTTCATTTTCACCAACCCAGGTAGAATTGCTTGACTTCCGACCAATCTGTCTGTGATAAATCCACGTCTCATCACCGGTGATAATATCACATAATTGCCATGTTCCGTTCCTAAATTTCTCTAAATTTTGACGATAAATTTGAAGTCTTTTTTGTTTTTGTTCGTCAGTAAGTTGGTGAGCAACCCAACGTGATACAACTTTTCTCATCTTTAGATTATCATGGATAATTGGTTCTATTGTACCACGCGATAGATCAGTCTTAACAATAACATCTTCATAAGTTGAGTGGGGATCATCTTCGATAACTTGTCGAACGCATTCAATATTTTCAACTGTAAGAATTGAAATCGGACGACCAGATCGAGGATCATCACTGACATCTTCTCTTCCTTCACGAAAACGTTTTGCCCAATTTTTAACCATTGAGTATGATGGAGCATCAGGTCCCAATGCTTCTGTAAGTTCGTCGAAGATTGTTTTTGGATTTATTCCCAAAATAACTCAAATTTTGATATAGTATCGATTAAATTCATCAGTCATGTTTGATAACTTGTTTTGCAATTGAAATCAAATTTTATCACGATCTGAAGTCGGGTGCGGTACAAATGAACTGACAGTGAACAACCTCTCATTTATATATACTATCGAAAGGTAATGTTCTAGGTCATGACGTCATTAAATGTAACGGGGGAGAAAGTGACCAATGGGAAATATGAACAGTTCCAGAATATACCTTAATATTGGACAAGAAATAGTTAAATATTAACATAGTCGCTAAATTATGAACTTAGTCTCGCAGAATGCCAGAACTAAATCCAAGATAGAGCAGCTCTATAGATTATTAAAGACGAGACGTGATACTATATATTCCCATAATAAAATATTCAATATTTACTGTTTTCTAAAATTTTAAACATCGGGCCACGAACTTTTGGTACGCCCTAAGTAATATATTTTGTCCTTACAATAGTGGAGAAAAATTTCCTTGATTCATTTTTATACGTAAATTTCGCATACTTTGAAATTCAAGGATCTCTGCTCAGGCATACTAATGGCAGCTCATAGCGTAAATTTGTTAGTTTCTTGGTAAAAAGGGATCATTTGACCCGAATATGGTCAACGTCTGAGCTCATCAGTACAAACCATTCCATTGTCAGCTCTGTTTGTTGAATATTTTATCATTTGGGAAGTTTTTTTGAACTGGCGTGCCGCTACTAGTCACTGCAGGTTTAATTGATGATAAAAGTTTTGAAGAAGTAAGATGAACGTGAAGATACTCCTATTGAAAAATGTACCTTTGTTGCGTATACTACGATTCAAAGTGCACTAGGTAGAGCTGATGATTTGAGACAAAACTCAACTCACCAATGTTTACGACATATAAAATTTCGAAAGACTTTCGAGATGTTACATGCTGATTGATGTTTGGCGTTTTCAAAAACTAGCTGTTCGAACTTTTCTGGGAAGAATATGCTGACGCTCATCCTGGCTTTGATCAATAATGACATAAGCCACTCTTGGTCAAACGAACAAGTCTAATTTGCGCATAGATATTTTAATTTCATATCTTACATTATGAACCTTTATGTTTCACTAAGTGATATGAAATAAGGTTATTTTGGTCCCTTCGAAAAGTGAATTCATGTTCGTAGACAAAACGCAGATCCTAACAGAATGATCTGATTCCTTATTATTGGAAAAATTTTTCGACAAAAAAACTTTTCGTCAGCTTTTGACCGATTTACACTGTTCAGTCACTGGTATCAGTTATGTTTGTAGCCGAAGTGTTCCTATAGACAAGAAAACGATTTTATTCTTCTATACAAACAATCATATGACCAGAACACGGCTATTTACTTAGTAAATAGTTTGAAATTAGATCATGCGTTAATGTGCTAAAAGTTTTTTGTTTTGTATTCGATTACGATGAGAAATTCATAAACGCTTCTAAATATTGTAATTTTTCTGAAAACGAACCACTGCTTTATCATTTATTTAATGCGCTTCGTTTGTTCTTCGAGCGGTAATGTCTATAAAGATCGAATGGTATAGAAACGTATAGGTTTCTGTACTTATAGCACACCTACTCGGTTGCAAGTGTATATGATTGGGTATCACTAGTAAGAAAACTTGATTGATGTGTTTTCCTAAACTTTTGTCATCATATTTAGCTGCTACCACTACAACAACTGCAACTACAGTCAGTAAGTAGTTTCAAGAAGAAATTCAAACAAAGAATGTTTCATTTGTTTATTTTATTTCAGCGATTACATCCAATACTTGCACATCAGAATGGAACAGTATAACGGTACTTTATCATTGTTATAATAATTGTACCGTTCAGAGTTCGTATGTGCAGTATACATACACATATGTAGCGATTGCCAGTACAACACGAATTACACTTAGTTTGCGTGAAGATATTTATTTTTTTGGCCTTGATAACATAACTGTATATAACAATGCAGCACCCAGTACTCAATTACTTCTCAATGGGGACTTCGAGACATGCACTCTCTCGTCATGGGTCTATTGCAATCCAAGCAATGCAACTTTTTCCGGTCAAGTGCAAACAACCAGCTTCAATTCTCATGGTCAAAAGTATTCAGCTTACTCTGGATCGTGTTTCTATCTGGATGGAGCTGTAGGCGCTCCGGATTATCTTAGCCAAACATTTACGACCATAGTTGGCAATACATATACTATATCCTTTTGGTTATACAAT